CAATCCAATGTAAAGTATTTAAAACTAGTAATTGTCTTTTTCTTTTTTCTTTTCTTTTCTTTTCTTTTCCTTTCCTTTTCTTTTCTTTTCTTTCTTCCTTCCTTCCTTCCTTCCTTCCTTCCTTCCTTCCTTCCTTCCTTCCTTCCTTCCTTCCATTCTTTGTGGTGGGAATGGTGGGTAGACTAGGGGGAAGGGGAGAGGGGCGGGTAGGGGGAGAACAGGGGAATCCGTGGCTGATATGTAGAACTGAATTGTATTGTAAAGTAAAATAAAATTTAAAAAAACAAGAAGAAATAAAGGAATATAATGGATGACTTTGGTATTTAATAAAGAACCCATCACAAGAGAAAAATGTCTGTGGAATATTAGTACATTTTTTTTGCTATGTAATAATTGTTTAATGATGCAAAGATGTGTTACATTTGTTCAACACAGTGAGTCTGTGTTACTTTGCCTCTCTAAAATACCTGATTGGTCTAATACAGAACTGAATGGCCAGTAGCTAGGCAGGAGAGGGATAGCTGGGGCTGCCAGTCAAAAAAAAAATAGAAGGAGAATAAGAGAAGAGAAAGGAGTGAGAAATGGAGAAAGAGAGGATGATGCTGGAGAGCACCCACCTACCCATCTAGCCACACAGCCAGAAGCAGAGTAAGAGGTAAAGAAAACTTAAACAAAAACTGAAAAATGTAAAAGCCCATCAGTGAAAGTTAGACTGGTTAATTTAAGATAAGAAGTTCCGCTTTTAAACAAGCCCAGCTAAGGCCGGGTTGTCATAAAGAAGAATATTTCTCCATGGGATCATTTCAGAGCTTAGTGGTAGGTTGTAGTGGTTAGTTTACAGATTTCATTCCACAACCTAACCTCTGGATAAATAAAGTGATACTCAATAGTGAAAGTTCACATATGAAATGGCATTATCATGGAGCAAGTACCCTCAAACAATATTAAACCCTCAACATCTGTCGGCTGATGGGTTGGGATAAGGAGATGTGGGGCACAGAGAAAATGATGACACAAGAATCTCACAGGGCCAAGCAGGGGTCTTTGTTTGTTTGGATTTTGGTTTTTATTTGGTTACTTGATTTTGACTTGGGTTTCCATTAGGTGATCCAGGGGTAATGTGAATCTGTGATATTCCTGTTTCAGTCTTTCATGTGATGGTTCTCATAATAATTACTTTGATTAATGAATCTGTGTATAATCAAATGAGAAGGGTTTCTTTCCAGGCCCAACCTATTCTGTTCTCTTCCCCACCACACCATGCTCTTTAGAAGGCAGATTTCTCAGACTGGCCTGACCTACTCTAGTCTCCTTGAATTCTCATGTTTTATTGCCTGCAATCACCTGTTGGTGACTAGAGTATGCTCTCCTGCCACATGGTATTTGATACTTCTATACTGAATTTTGATTTTCTTTTGATTTATTGTCTTCTTGGTGTAGCATACCAGCAAGAATCTAAAGATAGTCATCAACTACATACAAAGTAACACATGCCTAAAAGAAGAAAACATGTTTAATATTTAGGAGGCTGTGCTCTACTCTAAGTGAGGAGGTAAGTTGGATATCAATCTCAAACTCCTAACTGAGATCCTCAAAAATATCAGTATTAGTATTACAATTATTATGATTATTATTTTGACAAACATTCTCCTATATCCCAGGCTGGTCTGCTACTCAATCTGTAGTTAAGGATGAATTTTAGTATTTGTCTGTACCTCATGAGTACACGAATTACAGGCTTGTGACACCACACCGGATTATCTGTGATGCTGAAGATTGAACGCAGGACCTAGTACATGCCAAGGCAGTACTCTGCAAACTGAGATATAGCTCTTTCCATTTTTTTTTCCTTTTCAAAAATGGGGCCACATAATATTGGTGATCTGGGAATCAAGTTTTAAGTGACGCTGTCCTAGAACTTCTGATCCCATTGCTTCCAATTTTCACCATGATTAACCTCTCTAAAAGTAATCTGAACATATTATGCCATTTAAAATAACATTATCATAGAAGGATTTAATGTGCTTTGGGGATGGAGGATGAAGTTCTCTTGAGAGAGTGAGTGCCTTGCATCTAAGGCAGGATTTCAATGAGGAAGAAACTGAGTATATGAAGAAATATGAGTATATTGGACCCATTTTACTTGGTGATTAATATTTTCTGTATGGATGAGAAGAGTAAGAGATCATAATGTAAAGGCAATGGTGTTCCAAAAATAAGATGCAGAAAAATATTTCCTGGTAATCTCAATGGAATAGATCAATTATTTAAAGTCAAGGTTTTGATCCTCTGCCATTGATAAAGGCAAGCAGCTCACCTGTTATCTACAGACCTACTAAAAAACCCTGTGTTTAGGCTATTTCTTGGTGGCACATAACTTTAGTTCATTCATTCAGGAGGTAGGAGGATGTCTGTGAGGTCTAAGTCAGTATGGTCTACACAGTGAGTTCCAGGACAGCAGAGCTGTTACTCAGAGAAAGACTGTCTTGGAATTAAAAAAAAAAAAGGAAAGAAAAAACAACAAAAAATCAAAACAAAAAACAAAAACACAAAGCAACAAACATACAAACAACAACAATAACAAAATCCCTGGTTTTAGTAGGTTGATGTCAGCATTTCATTGAAAGTGGACCATTGTATTTTTCTAGGATCATACTGTAATAGTTTTGATCTGAAACACTGATAATGTCCTCAAAACACAGAACACTGAAAATAGATCCATACTTACGACCTTGCATAAAATCCAACTGCATGTGGATCAAACACATCAACATAAAACCACATATACTGGACCTAATAACAGAGAAAGTGGGGAATGGTCTTGAACTGGCAGATAAGGGAAAGGACTTCTAAACAGAATACCAATAGCACAGTCACTAAAAGCAACAATTAATAAAAGGAACCTCATGGAACTGAAGAGCATCTGTTTGGCAAAGGACACCATTTGTCACAAGGACAAAGTGTCAACCTAGAGAATAGGAAAAGATTGTTGCCAACTATACACACTATAGATGGATAATATCTAAATAAGTAAAGAACAAAAAATAACTGGACATCAAGAAAGCAATGACCTCAGTTAAAAAAGCAGTATATAGCTAAACAGAGAATTGAGGAAAGTGAAAATACAACCTCCACTTCAGGATGCCTTCACCCTGTACCCACACTTCCTAATCCTCAGACCCCCAAAGAGGAAGATCAGAGAGTCCTGAAAAAGCTTAGATCACACCCATATGTTCACTTAAATGAATAAAATCACCTGCCTTTTTGGCCCTGGCATTCTCAAAGGCAGAATCTAAATGGCTTCTATGATCTAATCAACTAGGGTTAAGGCTTTCCAGGATCTGGCAATGATTTTGGAGGCAAAGAAAATTGCCTAAGGGGAAGCAGTAGGCACCATCTCTTGGTCTCCTATCA